TATTTAGAGCCTTTTGGATATGATTCCATGGCCCTTAAATTTAATGGACTACAACCAAAAAATATCGGCCCACTTATCTTATTATATAAAAGAATCAATTTACCCTAGAAACTTTGAAATTCCATTAAACTGTACAAAAGCATAACTGCATAAGCAAACATTTCTTTTAATTGTAAAATGTGGATTTTTATGATTCTTGATACATATGCCAGAGATCTTGTTTTTTTTTTTCATGTATATAAAAGCAATTCCATTACTAGCTAGCCAATGTTACAGAGGATAAAACACACAAGAAAAGAGTGAATTGTGTTTGAGTATACAATAAGAGTCCGTACCATCTTTAAGTATCAGCTCCACTGGATGCATAAACAGAAGAAACACATGGGAACCAGTAGCGGCGTTTGCCATCTTCATGACCATCATCAATCATCGCAAGACCCTCCTGAAATAAGCATCGAAAAAAAACAAGATTTTCAGTACCACTAACATCACATGTATTGAAGAAATAACTAAATCCCACAGAGGTAAATGGATAGCAAAAGACGACATACCTCTAATAAACTTTCGAGGGCATCTATAACTCGACCAGATGTCCACGAGTGTCGTCTTTGTACCTCTTCCACAGTCACATAGCCTTGACCCTGAAATCCTCAACCCATTTCAGCTATAAACATTGAAAAGATGTTTTGGCTCTAAACTTCTTTATGTTTATATATTACCTGAGCCAACTCTAAGATTTGGTTATGGTCTTTGTTTAACTCGGTGGGGACTGAACGGACAAGCTTTTTCTTTCCAACCGTGATAACCTCGAATCCGCTACCTAAAACCTAAGGGATTATCAAGTCCAAGATATCAGCAAGAACAGTTTTAACTTCTCTTTTTTTTTTTTTCCTATTGAAAGATTAGAAGAACATAATTAGGGATACTAACCTTTAGCTTGCTAATAGCTCGAAGACAATCATCTTCGGTCACAGCTTCACGATCTTTTTTCCTTCTCAGACGAAGATGGTTACATAACTCGTGTAAACTGATCAAACCTCCATTATGGGACCTTGTTAGCATGCAAACTTCAATTATCTGAACTCCTGTTCAATGGATTGACATAAAGTATAGAGAAGAATATATAATCAAATCCGAAACAAGAAGATGATCTACTTATGCATTTGTATCCAGAATTCAGAAATCAAAGCTAATAAATACAACAAGTTTCTTTAGTGATACAAGAAAGTGTAGAATGTATTACCCAATTCATAGTAGAAGTCACCAATTCCCAGTAGCTCAGCCCAGAAACCCTTGTTTGAAGCTAGAGGATCTACTCCAACTTTAGCACACATTTCATGGAATTGAGCCCTAAAGGCTGGATTTTTGCGAATATCGTTCTGCAACATACGCAAATCATTTCCTTTTCAGAACAAAATTTTAGCCATCACACAATCTCTGCTACATTATTACTCAACAACACCAACATGGTCTTGATATATAAAACAAAGCTTTGAGTTCGAGAATCAGATTCAATGGCTTGATCGATAATTTATGGAATTACATCAATTACCCAACAGAGAAATCATACATATAAACTCATCCAAGTAACGAACCTTGTGTTTACGAGCGAATTCTTCAAGTTGGGATCGGAAAGTGGTGAGTTGTTCCTTCATGAGATCCGTGCGTAGCTTCGCGACATTTTCTCCAAGTAGACGGTATTGATCCTTGAAGATTCAAACGATTAAAGAAAAAGAGAGAGTGGTATCAATCGCTATTGAACAGAGAGATGCAAATACCAAGATAAAGTGAAATCGGACGATTGAATCAAAGTTTGATTTAGAGAGCAAAACAAACCCTAGCAGCCGCAGCTTTTTGTAATCCTCCGATTCCTGGTCGCCGTTTCATCTTTTTCAGTGTTTTTTTATCTTCGGGATTCTCCTTCACCGTTGAGACTCGTCGGAAAGTCTCTTCCTTTGAACTGGTTTTGTAGTTAACGAGGGATTGAAGATCATTGCTCAAATATAATTTTAAATATATACTAACGATATCACTAACAAAAAAATCAGAGTGGCGCAGCGGAAGCGTGGTGGGCCCATAACCCACAGGTCACAGGATCGAAACCTGTCTCTGATAGTTCTTTTTGTTTTTGGTTTATTTTTTACATGGACCGAACTTGGAAGCCCCATTTAATGATGATTATATGGCACAACAACATTGTTTTGTAATTAAACTTGATTAATGTCGAACCCTAATTGGGAGAGAGAAAACAAAATAAAAATGGCGCATGAAGAGAAGCTTCCATGGGAGATGATCGAAGAGATACTCTCTCGTGTCCCTCCAAAATCTTTTGTTTGCTTCCGAATCGTATCCAGAAAATGGAACGTTCTCTTCGACGACAAGATGTTTATCAACAACCACAAGTCCACGTTTCGATTCCTCTTGACGACTAAATCCAAGTTTTATTCGGTAAGCATCGATCCGGAGGTAGTGGTACGTGAGTTAACATTAGATATTCCCGGTTTACAATCTCAAGTACCTAAAAAGTTGGTTGATTGCAATGAGTTCTTGCTATGTAGTATGGGTAAAGGAACCGTGATTTGGAACCCGTGGTTGAAACAGACCAGAGTGATCACAACCTTCTCTGGAATTCAATGGCATAGGCTATGATGGGAGAGTTAAGGAAAATGTTTACAAGACATTAGCTTTTTATCGGAAGGGTAATGAGTCAATGTGGAAAATCCATGACTCTGCCACGGATGCGTGGAAAGACCAAACCCAGTCGGAATCTAGTCAGGTTCGTTTTCCGACGCAGAAATTCTTCCACTTTTGTGAAGAACCATGCACGGGATGTTCTTGTCCTCGAGGTTTTTAAGGGAGATCGGTTTTCGCTGCTAAAACAATGCCACGTAACAAAGAATATTGAGATTTGGGTGACCAAAAACAAGATTAACAATGATGTTTTTGTGTCAATTCCTAACTTGCCGGATTTAGTGCAAACCGGATCCTACTCTCAACCAAGTTACTTCATCGACGATAAAAGGCTTGTCGTGTGTTGTTGCGATGAAACTGGTCGAGCTTGGATCTATGTTATGAGTGAAAATATGTTGATCAGCAAAATCAAAATAGAGTCTGTGGTTGATCATTGGCCTTTGCATTGTACTTACATTCCAAGTTTGGTCCCGGTTCCTCAAAGTCGAAGAGAAGAATCGTAATTTAAAAGTTTGATTTGATTACGTATGTTTGGCTTCTTGTTTTTGGTTGTTGAAGAAGTTAAAGTTTAATTGGATTTTGGTGTTTTTATTCTCAAACTGTCATTTTTTTTATTATAGATTTTGTCCATTCCCATGGTGGAAGATTATTTCATCATATTAGTTTTTGGTTATCAAAAAAATATTATCATTTATATCATAAATCATTAAGCGAAAACAAAAAAAACTTGATTAATGTTTTGATTTCATGATCAATTCAATTTCAGTTTAAGTATTTTTGTTCTTGAATTCAACATTTACATAGAACTGAAATAGATAAATGTATGTAAAACAGTATGATGTGATTATAACTTCTTAAAAATTAATTTTGGTCTGGTGGTCGTTTTAGTTTATCAGACAATTAGTAAGATTGAAAAGAGAAAATGTGGCTG